ATGAAGGGATTGGGCAAGCGAGAGGGAGTTTTGGTGTGCGCAGGAAAGGATAAGGAGTTCGTAGGTTCTTTGAGAAGGGTTGGGTTCCTGGGAAAGGAGCTTGAAGGCTTGTTTAAGGTTGCCTTCCTTGCATAAGGATTGGATTAGTTGATTGTTGTTGACGTTTGAGGTGGAGATGGAAGGGTTTAAAGTAAGAGAAGAGGAAGGTAGTTTGGGTGAAGTACGAGGTGTGTTGGGCAGTGACGGTGGTTGCGTTGGCTGGGGACTGTAAAACGCCCACATCAGTGAAGACCTAAGCACTCCTAGCTTGTCTGTCGAAGAAACATTGATCTCTATAACTTTTATATATATATATATATATATATATAGATATTTTTTATCACGTGAATAGCATGTGCCAAGGAAAAGCTCTCGCAGAAACTCAAATCCTTCTGTTTAGGGATTAGAATTACTCTTTTTAAAATGCAATATAACCATTTTTTATTCACAAATATTTCCATATATAATATATATATAATTTTGAACTGAATAACAAAAAAACAAAAAAAAAATATAAAGATAATTTTGAATTACACAGGTATATGAACTTGAATCACTTCCATTTAATCTTTAGATATAAATAAGATAACTAATAGATAAAATTTGATTGAATAATTCAGGGACTCTTTAAAACTCAATTGACCCAACCATTCATTTCATCTTGATTCGCCAAATAGCTTGAAAATTTTAAAAGAATCCATGTCCATGGAAAGTATACAAGAGAAGAAGCACCCAAGAGAGTTACAAGACCATGGGAAACCGAAACATCCTTATGCAACAGGACAACATCCAACATCTGACTAAGCTGTTGTGGGATCATTAATCACACCCAAGAAATCGTCCTTTATGGTACCGATACAGAACTGCAAGAATAAGATCACTACTATCAGATGAGACATGAATAACATAAAAACTTGTAATTTCTTACAACAAGTACAAACAACACAAGTCTCATGCAGTGTTCTGATATTCAATCGGAATTTGATATCTTTGATCTCATAACTGTAGCATAACCATATACAGATGTAAATTTTCAGGGCATATAACACGGATTTTAATTCATATAGAGTTCTAAAAGCATGTAAAAGGCTTACAAAGTAAAAAAAATAAGGATCCATAATAAGAGTCACAATTGCATCACTAAGAAACTCAAACTCCAATGCAGCCTAGTGAAAAATATAACCTGTTTAAGCAGGCCACGATCTGGAAAATCTGTAGATACACTAAATACTAAACACATAACTCTCCCTAGCACCAACTATCCCCAGATTGCAGCAATCAGTCACTAGTTAAAATTGTTAGTGAGCTTAAGAGAGCTCTTCATCAGCTTCGTACTTAAAGTGACAAGATTGTGATTCATTGTTATATTAGGATATTCTATCCAAATACGAACAAGCACCAGGAATAATTATAAAAACTACTAGTGGGATAATAATTGGAAGGAGGAAAGGATCAAGATTATACTATTTCAGTAGCATCTACTCGAGTTCCAATTATCTTCAAGCGCACTTCGCTATCCTTTTGAATCTTAACCTGTAAAACATAGGTGATAAAGTAAATAACAAAATTTCTTCAACAGATAACTAACAATTGCTTGCCTTAAAACGGAACTGAAGCATACCGATCCATCGGAGGTAGTATAATTTGGCATATCTCCAGACTGAAACTCCATATCATCTGGAATCAACTGAAAAACACAAAATTTCAATTAAACATGTGGAAGGGTATGGTAAAAATGGGAATTATGAGCATATCCCGTAATTCAAATGAGTGAATATGGCAAAGCTTACATAATAAGAAACTTCATGATAATTAACAAGTCACGTATGCAAATATTAATCAAGTAGAAATACCACCAAGAAGCAAAAGTTTCCTATATTTGATTGACATCATTCGTGATACATATTCATATAGGCATTGCTTATACGAACGCAGCTACGTCTTCCTATCTCACATATTAGATGAGAAAACTTCCTAGTTCTTACTTCTAGCTTTTGTGGATTGCAAACCCAAGCAACTGAACTCAAATCTTCAAACAAATCATCACCCAGATTGCCAAGGTGAAAGACAAAGAATCTCAAAACATTAAATTCATGTTCTCTCCTAAGTGTCACCAGAACAGAATAATGTCTCCCTCACAAAGAAACTAGTTCTATAAAGTCAATCCAGTAGGATAATTTCAGTTCCTCTTGTTCAAGTACAGATAATCTTAGATTCAATCCTTTAAATAGTATATGTTTCTTATAATCTCTACTTTATCTTAAGATACAGAACATAACATTCATCAAATAACTATATCGAGTCCAATAAGGTCAAAAAGAAAGCAAAACTTGAACCTGGGAAGCAGTCTAAATAAGAAGTTACAAGCCAAAGTTCAACATAGAACATAAATCTGAAAGGGATTACACAAAATGATTCCATGGCAAAAGAACATGGAATTCCCTAACAGATGCCATGATGTAAAGGAAACAAGACTTACATGGTTGGAAACAAAAATTTGAACAGGCCCAGCTTCTGCAAAGAATCCCATCTGTATGGAAACCACGAAACTAGTTAGGAACATGCAAAAAAGACAGAAATCAACAGCAAAGAATCATATTAACAAGAATGAATAAATAAATCAGACTAGAAAAAAGGAGGGATACATGCCTTATTCACCATAGTAACAACAGCTTCCAAGATCTCCCCCTTAAATGGTCTAAACACAACACATTGATACTTGACAGGGAATGTCACAAACCCTGTCCCGTCTCGAATTAAACCTTTTCCAACGTTCTCTATACCCGTTATTGCCACCACAAAACCATGTCTACCACTGCAAAGAGTTAGCAAAGTTACCAATGTACACCTTTCAGCCATGTTTGCCCTTTAAGATTCTTTAAACCAATCAAATAATCAAAACCCAATTCATCCACAACTATGACTAAGATTTTGGGAACTTAAGGGGAACAATAGAAGTTAAAATTCCAATAAACTGATGTATAAAACTACAGCTTAAAAAAGCTAACAACCCATTTTAATCTTACATTTATTGCCTCTTGAAGCTATAAAACCACCTCGAAAATTTAATCAAATCAGCTCAATTGAATTCTTTCTTTTTTTTAAAAAAAAAAAAAAGTACCCTAAAACGAGCAAGAACATAATTTTTAGTCACAACCCTTTTGAAATTGTAAAGGAAAGAAGAACCTGCAAGTGCCCTCAACATCTTTCATGAGCTTGGATACCAGGTTTTCCCGCAGGTTACGACCGAAGTGGCGTGGGTGCAGCTGCATGTTCCTCTCCAATACTATGTGAAAAAACATGGTTTTTTTCGTTTTTTTGTTTTTTTTTTCGTTTTGGTTCTTCTCGCGAGAGAACTGGGGTCTCGCCGTGTCACGTCGTTAACTTAGAAGGGTGGTTTCTGGTTTGGTCGGTTTCTTTTTTCTCAGGGCTGTTCAATTCTTTGGGCTCCGCATGGCTTTGGTTTTAGGGCCCCTGATTTTATCTTTCTTGTTCCTTGGTCTTAGGATTGGGCTTGGGGCTTGGGCTGGTTGATCCTTTGATGGGTTGCCTGCAACCAACATTTGGGTTGTGGCCCGAGAATTAATTTAACTTATATTTATAGTTTATTAGACCTTTTGTTTTTTTTTTTTTATGTGAGTTGTTTTGCATTTCTTCATAGTTGGTATGATTTTTCTTTAAAATGAACTAAAAAATTAAAAGGTTGAGATTCATCAGTAGCATATTTTTCCCTTGTTTATCCTTTTAAAAAATTTAGGAGAAACTGTGTTAATATGATATCTCTAAAAATATTATTCCTTGTTCAATTGCATGGCTCATATGGGTAAGGTGCCTGTTATTTTCAAAATATCTTACTTCAAACTCTATTATTTGATAGGAAACTCGTATCTGAATATTTTAGACACTACCGTGAATAAAATAAATTTTAAATAATTTTTATGCATATTACCAATGAAAATTAAATTAATAAATTAAAATTAATTCATAAAAAATAAATTAAATTTTAAAAGCCTATTTAGAATAATTTATTATAAGAAATTTATAATATACATAAAACTAAAATTTAATGTTTAAAATCATTACGTTCAAATAGTGGATATCCTAAGACTACTATTCAAACCCTACTCAAACCAATAATAAAGAGTAATTTTATTATCCAAATATGATTATAGAGTATTTTAATTTTACTTAATCGAAATAAATCATGTATCAATTACAAGATGCTCATTGGCATTCCTCCTCGTAATATTAATGATACAAAACATTAAGAGAGATACACAGACATTAATAAATAGATTTTTTGTTCTTTTGTTGAGTTGTTTTCTTTAATTTGTTGTCTTCTTTTCATTACTCCCTTTGTTTTCCCCTTAATTTCTCCTTTCAACTAGATCCAAATATGTTGTAGTAGGGCACGAAAAGTGGTATTATTGATAACAAGGTAACATGTTTTCATTATACCGAAGATGTACAGCAAGAGAAATAGCAACATGACTACATTCATTCGTTATACATATTCACTACCAACTCCCAAAAGTTAGGAGTTGTTGGTTCTACGTACGGCATTGAGACGCCGCTTTGGGATAGATGATACTTTATGGTAGGGTGGAGGCTGAGTATGGGGAAGGGTAATGAGATGGCAGAGGGTGCCTACGAGGAGTTCTTGAAGGTGGTAGATACTTTGTGGGCGGAAGATTTCGTGGATAACCTTGGGTTGGTGGGGGATGAACTTGAGTGGGAGGTGGATGGTGTTGAGTAGGTGGAGGGTATCTAGATGGTGGTGAGTGGCCTTGAGTGGGTGGCGAATATTGGCTTGGTGGTGGATGACCTTGAGTTGGTGGAGGGTATCTTGACGGTGGAGCATAGCTTTGAGGCGGTGAGTGGCCTTGAGTCGGCGGCGGATATTGCCTTTGTCGTGGATGACCTTGAATAGGTGGAGGGTATCTAGATGGTGGTGAGTGGCCTTAAGTGGGTGGCAGGTATTGCCTAGGTGGTGGATGACCTTGAGTGGGTGGAGGGTATCTAGATGGTGGTGGATACGTTGGAGGAGGTGCTTGGCCTCGAGTAGGTGGTGTATGATCTAGAGTGGGTGGAGGACATCGGCTAGGTGGTGGGTGACCTTGAGTTGCTGGTGGATACCTTTGAGTGGGTGGTGGGTATTGGCTAGGAGGAGGATGCCTGTGAATAGGTGATGGATGACCTTGAATTGGCGGTAAATACCTATGAGAGGGCGGCGGATATCGGACTGATGGTGGACTTTGAGGAGGCAGGTACCCACGAAAGGGTGGTGACTGACCATAGCCTATTCGCGTTATGGATAGAGTAGATTCATGATTAGTCACTTGTTTTGCATAGCCTGCAGGATGATCATTTACCCTCTCATATGCACTGGAAACGGTGGCAAATGAAAATGCACCGCTTTCTGCTGTAAACACCAGCAGCAATATTTGTGAAAGCAGTGCAAGCATCTTCATTTTAGTATAAGCAAGTGCTTTGGTTCAGTGAAGAGTGGCAAAAACTCAGTTATGTAGCCTCCAAAACTTGCAGGAAGTTACAAAAGTCTTAAACGCATATGAACTTGCACCGCCGACATGCAAAATCTGTTGTGTCGATTAGCTTCCTCGTTCACCCATTTGTTGAAGTTAATGCCTGAACTCTCCGAATGCAGTAAAAGCTTTGGGTTCAGTCACATGCAAAGTTTGACACTTAAAAGATGTAAAGGATACGTCATTTGATTGACTCTTCGCATGAAGAGGACGAGAATGGAAAGGCAGAACATGTGGAGAGAGGTTGCGAGGCTACTCTCTAGTTCACTTAAGCAAACTGAACCTCGTTTGCTTTTGTCTTCCAAGCTAGGCGTCCGTTTGAGCCTCATCTGCGCACGTTATATGGACAAATGGCAAAAGTTTTGTGCAAGGTCCCCAAAGAGATGCAAGCTTTTCTGCTCTAGAGTCTTGATGGTATTAGATTTTGCACTTGTTATTGATCTCTTAAATAAAGCTTTGGGGTAGTCATGCAAGAAATCTCTCAGGCAACTTTTCATTTAAAACAAAATCCACTCTGTTATCTTTACATAAATGGCAAAAAGGAGATCGTTGCCATCCCAAATTCAAGAATGAAATCTTTTTTATAAGGGTAGCGCGCAGCTATAAACCCTAAACAGAACCTTCATTGATGTCAAAAGAATCTGTTCTGACTCGTACTGTTGAGGTTTATGATCAGTAATAACCATTGTTTCATTCTAGAAACTAGCTGATGTTAGTATGTTACTGGCTCAGAGAGGCCATGAAAAAGCAACATACCTCATGCAACGCTTACAACAAAGATAACTGGTGAAAGAAAATTCTCTTGTGATTAAGAAAATCTTCCTGTGGAATCCATATTTTACACACACGGTCACTTATAGACCATAATGTATGTACACAGTCATTGGGATTTCTGTGAATCTTTAATTGAAAAGAATGATATTTGTGGCCTTCGTTGTTGCCCTAAAAGACGGTTACTCCAAACTAAGATACTCAAGCTTGTCTCTTAGAATACAATACTTTAAACAGATAACCTGTACCCTTAACATGGGGAGGAATTGGTCATATTGCAGATCAAAGATCGCAGATCTTGAAGTTGCTCCAACACCAGCGTTCTGATCTTTGAAGGTTTCTCCTCAAATCACAACCAGACTGCAAGAAAAATGTCAAAATCAACAAAGACAGTGGGAATTAAGGTTCATAAATTGGAAGGATGATCAAAAGTTTACAAGGAATGATACAAACCGGCAATCACAAATATTGTTACATATGGGACAAATGAATAGTTGCAATAAATGATAAAAACAGCTTTCAAGGCCCTTACAAGTTTTGACTAAATATTCCATGCTTAATAAAGACAGACTATGTGCTGACAAACAATACAAAATATGTATAACATTCTATGCAAGAATTCCAAATATATGTATATAAACACAAGAAACGATGGCTAATGATAACAGACCAAAATACACAGTTTGAAACTTGCAAGCATAGAGACCTGTGATCTACATGATCTATATCACAAATGCATGGTCTTTGTTGGTAGAATTACATAAGACAGTTAACCAATTACCGGAAGGAACATAGAAAATTTCCCATCTGTTAACATTTCCCCGCTAAAAAAATAATGAATAGGTATAATTAGTGTTCAAGGGTTCTCAGCATGTTAATAACTAGAAAAAATTATTCTAAACCAAATCTTACCAAAACAAACTTAAGAATTCAGCGGTTAACGCAGAGCATTGGGTTTATGAAGCCATAAAGCAGTAAATTGGTAAGGTACTCCTCAGAACTGTAGCACAACTGACAACAGATTCGTTGGTATTAATTGGGACAAACAGACAAAATACATGCTGAATGTAGAGTTGTTTCTTCAGTTATCACTAGCCATGGTAGATGAACAGAACAAGTTGTGACAGAGAGGGATTGCAAAGCGTTAGCAACAACGATGGTGGAACACTGATCCCAAAAGGCAGAGGTGGTAGTTTGATGCTAGAGATTGTAAAATCATCATTGAAAAAGGCAGAGGTGGTAGTTTCATGCTAGAGATTGTAAAATCATCATTGAAAAATTAAGTTAAGAAGAAATGACTTATGCTACAAGCAATGATATTTTCTGTAATTGGGTAAATTAACGAAACTTCACTTCATCGAGATAGTGACTCTTTTGATTCACCACTGAATCAGTACTTAGTTCAATGTTGGGTGTCTTTTCATATCACTAATTAAAGTTTCAAAGGGGAAGAAGGTGATAGAGCACAGCTCATGATGCTAACCTAATAGAATTAGGGCTTAAGATTATGCAGGCATCAAATTAAAGAACAAAGGTCAAAGTGATATACAATGTTGTTCCACAGGATGAATTTAACTCAAATCTGTGTCTAGACAGGATTGATAAGTTATTTGTTTTCTTGAATGTCACTTTTTTAGGTGTACAGTTTATAAAGTACAGTATTTCTCTGATGAGGACTCTAAGAGTTCTACCAATTACAAAAGCGGAGTCTCATAGAATCATCCAGAAGAAATCAGTTATCTATGACAATATTCTGCACCAAAACTGTTTCACATTTTTGACATTTCAACTCATGTAGAGCTTCAAATCAGCGGAAATAGAAATAAAAATTACAGCAACCCCTAAAAGAATTCAACATAAACAAATGACAATCAGCAAAAATCAACATAGAGAACAACATTTCAAACTCTCAAAAATAGATTATTAACTTCATGATTTTATATCACACAACCATTCTACGGTTACAAGGTTATGTAATAAAAATGATGGATTAAAACTTACATCAGCAATTCTATGAACGAACTGAGACAGCAGTCATCATGTGCATCAAATGAACCTGGACCTTTTATCTGCAGGCTTAAGAATTTGGAAAGAGCACATTAGGCTTTCATCCACGCTCATCATTGCACCAGCATTATCAAATTCGCCACAATAGTTTGGAGCGGAAAATATCGTAACAAGCTGTCTGTCAGCAAAAAACTCGTATCCATCTTCAACAACCTGAAAGAAGCATCATGGTCAGCTCTTTAGCTTACACACTCACAAACATAAAGAAGGAAGAAAATAGCAAATGTCCCTAACCTGATGGGCACGGCAAACAAGGTCCATATCATTTTTCATTAAAAAGTCAGAGACTCTATCTGGCCCAAAGGTGAATGAGACTCCTCGATCATTCATACCCCAGCCTTTGATATCCCTACCAGGATCTGACCAAAGTAAATCACAAAGCAAACCAGAATCTGGAACATCAGTTGGACGCTGTAAACTCCTAATTTGATTCAAATTTGTTAGATCAGGAGAAAGGCCACCATGCATGCACAATATTTTGTCATCTATCAAAGCAGCCACTGGTAGACAGTTGAAACAATCGGTAAAGGTTTTCCAAAGTCTCACATTGAACCTTCGTTTGCATTCATCATAAAATCCATAAATCCGATTAATAGAAGCACATTCATGATTCCCTCTCAAAAGAAAGAAGTTCTCAGGATATTTAATCTTATAGGCCAGCAAAAGGCATATTGTTTCTAGACTCTGCTTGCCACGATCAACATAGTCCCCCAGGAATAAATAATTAGCAGTAGGAGGGAAACCACCATATTCAAAAAGCCGCAGAAGATCAGAGTACTGCCCATGAATGTCACCTGAAAGAAGAAAAATAAGAATAACAGAGATTAAAAGATCTTTCTTAAAAAGTTAACACCAATTGTCAAAATTAGGAAGATATATTTCCAGAACGGATGTTTAAGAAGCATGAGAAATATTGAGCTGTATTCAATGTTTCCTCACTTTATATTGTTTTGATATAATTGCCACCTACGCCCACATAAATTGAAAGTGAAGTTTGTTCAACTAATACTTTTAAACAATTCCAATATGTGAACTAATAAGCCGTGCATTTCCAATATTTCTTTAGGCTGAGTTGCCTCACCTATTCATAATTGGAACTACCAAGTAGTACCAAACAAGATAGTTAGGATTAAACTGGATTCAACAAGATGAGCAATCATCTAGTCCTATGTACTTATAATGGAAGCAGTCACAACACTAAAAGGGATTCCTCACCATTGATTTTCATAAAAACTGGGTTCAGCTTTATAACAGTCGTCAAAGAACTTGAGGTTGCATTATCAAGCACCCAAAATTAGTTATCATATAGAAGCCATTGCAAAAAACCCATGTACATAGACAAAGAAGTAAAATGCAACAGACTGAAACACAATATATCTTAGGCAGGCAAGGATGATACTTGCATTATTGCATAGACTTGACAATTTCCAAAACACCAATATTATATAAAGGAAATGTAATTGAATAAGGTGATTGTGTACGAGCAGTTATTTTAACTCCTTTAAAGGGCATAAATTAATACATTGTGTCCTCCTACAAAGGGCAACCAGCTCATCAATTTTATCATCTAATCAAATTGATAGAAAATGAAAATTATCATGTTTACAGTGAAAATGAAAATTATCATGTTTACAGTAAAAATGTTCCAACAATCTTTTCTACCCTCCCAACTAAAGTGATTGTTCCAGCAAAGAACATTGGATGATAACAGTACCTTCACCTATTTTCTTTTCTTAACCTAATCGTGCAAGTCAAGATAAACATTTCTACATAATGCATTTTATTTTTCATTTCCTCATTTATAGTGTATTCTCCCATAATGCTAGGGCTCCTTACTTTTATGCGTTTATGGTTTCCACTTTAAACAATCAACAATCCGTAGAATAGTCCTTGATGATTAACATAAGTATCCCACTTTCCCCATTCGTTACTCTGCACTGCCAAACTTTTCCCCACCTAGGAGACTTTCCAGCCAACCCACGGCATCCGCAAGTAACTAAGAAAAAAGGAAGCGGCTAACCCAGTTTAAAACGATACTTGTACTTATTCTAGACTGCAGCTCCCACCCTATAGCATTAAAAACCTACTAAAATCTCAAAGATGCAATGCATCAAGAAGGTTACAATTTCCTATTATCAATCTCTCATCTAATTCAGATTATACGCATAGCAGAGTCAACCAATAGCTACTAAACTACATAATCACATCATTCAATCTCATTTTCAATTTACTCTAAACCATAATTAATCCCATATTTTCATCTTACCTCTAATAAATTTAAAATTTTAAAGAGAGAGACAGAGACCAATCGTACCAAGAACAACACGAAAAACATTATTTTCAAGTTAATGCAATTTAAGCAAGAAATGAATAGCACCCTCAATGCACCCCAAGGACAAACATAATCATCCCAAAAAAAAATTTCAAATTTCTCAGCTTTTCCCTCATTCAATCAAATCCCTAAAGAGAAAACAAACATTGCTTAAAAAATTTCAATTTTTCCCTTATCCAATCAAAATCCAAAGCACCCAAATCCAAAACGAATATACCCAAAACCCAAAACATGAATCTCCACCATTTTTCTATTGAAAAATCAAAATAATAATAATAATAATAATAAAGCTTACCACAGATCTTGATGGGAGCTTCAAGCTCAAGAAGATTAGGCTGTTGAAGAAATATTTCTCTTGAAACATTGCAAAGCTGACGGATCTCACCTTCCATCAGCTGCACTTGCTTCCCTGGCCTCCCTTGCTTAAACTCCAATAAACGACATATTATATCATCCAAAACAGCAGGCTCTATTGAAACAGATCCCATAATTTGGTCCAATAATCAATCTCTCCAATAAAAAAAAAACCCAAAATTCTTATCTTTTTTTCTTTTCTTTCCTTCTGGGTTTTTCGAAATGAGTTCGGTTTTGGGTTCTTTGAAAAGAAAGAGGCGGAGAAGAATGTGGCCTGGCTTTTCTTCTCTTTGCCTTTTTTTTTAATTATTTCTTGTGTGGAATAAAAGTATTGTAAATATATTAAATAATAAAATATTTTTTAAAATTTTTAAAGTAAAGCCGGTGATGACTGCAACTCCGATGTGGCGGAGAAGCCTATGATTTTCGTCAGAGTCGATAAATCCGCTCCCCTTTTTATAGACAAGATCAATAAATGTCATCGATTTTTACTTAAATTTCGAAAATGCCCCTCTTTTCTTTTTAATTTTTCTTTTAATAATAATTTTTTTCTTAATTATGATTCACGCTGAATATATATCAATTTATGATTTATAAAAGAAAATTAGAAAATCGAGTAATGCAAGACTAGAGAAAAATATAAATAATAAATAGTAATTTTTTTATCTTAAAAAAAATTGGGAAAATTTGATAACCATGAATTTAGGATCTAAACAAATTGAAGTGGTGTTATGGATAAAGACTGTAGCTTAGGTTTGGTTTCAGTTATGGCGAAGGCTTTGAAAACTTTGTTCAAATTTGTCGGCTATAGTATAGATATTAATATCCAAATTAAATAAACTTATTTTTTTTTCAAATCAAAACTATTATTCATTTCAATTTTAATATATGTTTGAGTTTACAAATTTTACAGGAGAATAAATATTTGGTTATTATAGATAAAATCGGTTTACTTCAATTATTTAGATTCGAGATATAAATGATGTTTTCGAAAATTAATGAATTTGAATTGTTTGGTCGGGTTATTAGAGTGAGAATTTTGTCAACTATGCCTTATTTTGTTAAATTTGATTATACTGACTAATGTAATGAAATATTTGATTTAAGTTTTCATTCCAATAAACGAGATAGTAACTTAAACAAAAGGATCAGAAAATATCTTGTTGGACAAAAATTTTTCTATGTAAAATATTTTATAGAAAAATTTAATATTTTTTGTTAATTGGATAAATTGTCAAAAATATTTTTTATTATTTAAATCATGTCATGAAAAATATTTTTCAAAATCATAGGTTATTTGAATGTTAAAATGATAAATATGCGATTGACTACAAAACAATAGTGTCATTTGGTATTTACATTAAAAATTAAGAATGAAAATAAAAATTGGGAAAATCAATTTTTATATTTTTTAAAGTATTTAACCATATATTATAATAAAAGGAAGTTTTAATTTAAAAAAAAAATTATCTCATCATTTTTTTTACCATAGTACTATAAAAATTTTAATATTTATCAATTGTATAAAATATTTAAAACCTATATTTATATATGTGTATCCATTAAAAGGTGATTATTGAAATATTTGTTGTTATAATTATTAGTAAGACTTATTTAATTTATAAATAAAAATATTAACTGTATTGAATGATTTTATTAAAATTTTTGTTTAAATTTTAATAATATTAAATAATTTAAATATTAATGTTAATATTTTAACTTAAAATTTTTTTAATGTTAAATATTAATATTTTTAAATATTTTAAATTAAATATTAATATTTATTAAATTTATTGTGTTAAGTTTAGTATAAGAGTAGTTGTTATATTTGTCGAAAAAAATTTTAGATCTCTCAAAAAGGATATAAGGTATTTTATGTAATCAATAAATATTTTTTTAATTTGTAAAATATTTTATATTTGAAATAATTTTTTGGACAATTATTTTTTTTTTTTGCAATAATAGAAAACGATATAAAAACTGAAAAGCTAAAAAAGAAAATTGGTTAATTTTCGTTTACTTCTTTCATCTTTTTATTTGACACAAGTGACCACAGTTTGGTCCGTAAAACCCCTTTGCCCAATCGCTATAGAGCACGTGGCCGTTAAACTTCATCCTATAAATGCTCGCGTTCCATCTTCTTTGGAACTGGGAAAGTGAAATAATTATTGGAACAAATTGAAGGCGAATTTCTTCTATGTTTTGTCGTCTTTTTAACGATGGCGGCCACCAAACCTGCCGTCTCTGGTGGGCTTTCATAAAAAATACATGGAAAGGGAAGTTCTAAAAAGAATCACAGTCTTTATATGTTTCCTTATAGCTATCCTTTTATATACTCTGACCTAAATCAATTCATGAAGTAAGGATCTCCTTTTGTTTTTTTTTTCATTCTTCCTTCAGCTCTGGGTCTCAGGTAAGTTTCATCAACTTTTACCTATTTTGTGCTCTCTTTTTTTGTGTGTGTTTCGGGTTTCTGATGGGATTTCCTGAAATGGGTATTTGATTTCTGGTGAAAATATGGTGTTTTTTTAATTCTTTTCATGCATTTGAATTGTAGTTAGGATCATAAAAGTTTTGTGCTGCCCATATGGGTTTATCTGGGGTTTGTGTTTATATGCTGAAACTATGAAACGTGAATGCTGTTAATAAGAGTGAGTTGAGGTTCAGAGGCATCAGAAAAGTAAATATTGGGCAGGATTTAGGACTAAAAGCAACAATTCACCTTTGGAATCTTGGCTAGCTATGTTTGAAAAATGAAGACTGCATAAAGAGAGGAATTGATAGGCCTCTGCAGTGGTTCTATCGCTATATTATGGTACTTCAAAAGGTGTGGCTTGAGGAGGATTTGAAGGGTGAGAATAGATCAGCATGGCTGATCCCTTATGCCTTTGCAGGTGGATCTTGATATTCATAGATTTTTCAGTTAGCTTGTGAGGTATTATATGCCTTTTCATTGGGAAGAGATATGGGATGATTTATATTAAATCTTAAATTGCTCGGTCCTGTTTATTTAAAAGTTTTGGTTGTGCTTGAAGCCTGCAGCAATTGTCCATCTGCTCCTACTTTAAAAACTACTACTATTTCATGAAAAATTACAAGCTAAGTCACCATGGCTTTATAATTTAAATTTGCCAAACTTATGTAATTGATCTCATGCTCAAAGCGTTTATTGATGCCCTTGACCATGGTAATTTAATTGATCAAACATGGCCATTTCTAGCCTAACCTCTTGAACTCCTGATCTGGCAGTTTGATTGAAATTGTGGGTTCTGTATAAAGGTCTTACTCTCTCATCTTGTTTGTTTGTTTGACTTTATTAATGATCCTGTTGTCCAGGCAGATGGAATATGATGCAGTCTCCATTTCGAGATCTCAGGATCAGAAGAGCATTGAGATGCCAATGGTATCTGAAGGAAGTAATATCATTTCAATGCCACCAGACTCACAATGCTGCTCTGTTTGTGCCTTTTCCAGGCAAGAAAACACTACTTTGGAATCAAAGCAACGACGGAAGTCAGCAACCAAACTTTCTGGGCTCATTGTGTTCTATCTTATGGTTATGGTGGTAGAGATTACTGGTGGAGTAAAAGCCAACAGTCTTGCAGTTATCACGGATGCTGCCCACTTGCTCACTGATGTTGCTGGATTCTCCATATCTCTTTTTACAGTCTGGGCTTCCGCATGGAAGGCAACCTCATACCAATCTTTTGGATACAATCGTCTTGAAGTCCTGGGTGCTTTTTTTTCTGTGCAGCTCATATGGCTTATATCTGCACTCTTAATTTATGAAGCACTTGACAGAATTCTCCACAAAAATGGAAAGGTAAATGGGGCACTCATGTTTGCAATTGCTGCATTTGGATTTATTATAAACTTAGTTATGGTCCTTTGGCTGGGTCATGATCACACTCTTGATGGTTGTGGGGACACACATCATCATCATCACCACCACCATCACCATCATCATGACCGTGAGGGAGGGAAACCTTGTGATTCAGCTGAAGAAGAGGAGACTAGTCTGGTGCCAAGAACTCCAGAGAAGGCCAAGATATTGAACATTAATCTCCAAGGAGCTTACTTGCATGTCATGGCTGACCTAATTCAATCTGTTGGGGTGATGATTGCTGGAGCTGTTATATGGATGAAACCACACTGGTTGGCGGTCGATCTTCTCTGTACTCTTGTCTTCTCTACTTTTGCTCTGACTGCCACTCTACCCATGCTTAGAGATATATTTGGCATATTGATGGAAAAGACACCGAAGGACATTAACATTGATACACTCGAAAGTGGTATCAAGGGTATCAAGGGAGTCCAAAACATTCACGACCTCCATGTATGGGCTATAACCGTTGGGAAACTTGTATTGTCCTGCCATGTGGTAGCTGAGCCGGCAGCCAGCTCTAATGAAATTCTTAGCAAGATCAGGGATTACTGTGAAAAAACATACAAAATTTATCACATTACTATACAAATCGAATAGTCTTTTACTAGTTTCTCAACAAATCTTGGTAACCGATACCTTTATATTTACTTCTCTATACTCTGTGTTGAGAATGTAGATTAAAAAACATACCAGATTCTTGAGTTTTGCTGTTTCTTCAGCATAAGTGGTATATTATCGCGTCCGATGGCTTGGAGCAACCAGACTTGGTTGTCCTGCAATGTGCATGCGTATCGGCTATTTGGTTTGATTCCCCATCAGCCTTTCTGTCAAGGATATTGGATAGAACGTTCTGAGATGGTTACGCCCCATTTGTACCTGCACATATCAATCACGAAGCAACCTCCATGGTGCCCATTTTTTTTTTGGTCAGACAGCCACCAAGTTTATGGGGCTTTAAATACCCTTTTCTTTTGTGGCCCTTTTAGATTCATTTGAACGAGTCAATTCAGACAAGGTAACCTGCGGACGAGATTCACCAGCTACTCAATTGAGACCAGGTCAATCAGTTCTCACAACCATGAAAGTTGAAATAAGCCATACATTGTCCTAACAGACAGACCCAGCCCTGAAGAAAAATATGAGGGAGAGTAAGTCTTAGAAGGGGACACGCTTTTATTACAAGTTAGTGAGTTAATCACATAAAACAAATTAAGCTTCTTTGTTTGTAATAGCAACTTCCCACCGAACCTTTCCAACTTCCACTTTTTCAGGGAAACATGTTGAGAGATGAGCAGAAGGAAAAGCAGGTCTTTTCCATCCTACAAACACCAATATGGTTGTTTAAAATATCACAAGCTTCCTTATCACAACTCATTTAAGTAAAAATAAGTATTCTACATGTGTCTCTCTCAGCCAAAAATTGAAAAAGGGTGGGGAAAAAAGAAAAGAAAAGGGAGAAATAAAAGAGAAAAAAAAAACGAAAAGGCCTGCTTGCTAGCAAATATTTTCCCTTCCTAAAATATAACCTATCACTTTTTTAAGTGGAACAGCATCCTTTCTTAGTGTTCCCAGATGCATCAGCAACATTTATGGTGGTTCCTTGGCCAGGAATTGTAGTACTAGCAGCTGCTTCTTGTGCTGCCAACGCCTTTTTGCTTATGATATGGTAGATCTCATTCAATATAGTTTGGAATGCCTTCTCGACGTTGGTTGCTTCCAGTGCTGACGTCTCAAGAAACGAAAGACCTTCCTTCTCAGCCAGAGCATGACCATCCTCCTCAGAGACGGCTCTGAGATGATTCAAGTCCGATTTATTTCCAGCCATCATGATGACAATGTTGGAATCCGCATGGTCCCTCAACTCACGCAGCCACCTTTGAACATTATCAAAGGTTTGCCTCTTGGTTATGTCATAGACAAGAAGTGCACCAACAGCTCCTCTGTAGTAAGCACTAGTGATAGCCCGATATCTCTCCTGACCTGCCGTATCCCATATCTGTGCCTTAACAGTCTTTCCCTCCACCTATTTCATTAGAAAAAAAAAAGAAAGAAAAAGAAAGAAATTAGTGGTAGAACACAAACCAACAATTTACCAAACTGCATTACCAATACCATGATTACTAATGATAAAGGGTCAAAGAAGGTTCTAATACATTGAATATGACAGGCTGGCAAGAGCAAGAAAGTGTTCTTCTTGCAGCCTCAAACACTCAATTATTATATCATGGACCCATAAACAACAACAATATACTCCCTATTATTAAAAATGGGAACAAAACAGCACTATACAGCTTGGATTAATAAATAACTTCCTTTTCAATTCAATAAAATAATCTGCCAACAGAGGGGTAAAAAAAAACAGACGGTTGTTTTCTCACAAACACAAAAGCCTTCTAGTCCTTCGAGCCTAGTAGCCTGATAAATAATATAAAAGCACGAAAAGACTTTGAATTGATCAACCCTCAACATTTGTGACATGTAGAATTTGTTACTCAAAATAGAGATGGAACAATCATCTCAAACTCAACTATATGATTTCAAGATTTAAGAGGAAATGACGCGAAAGCCCCTTCGATGATCATCACTACCTAACCATTTCTTTCTTAGCTCACTACACATCATTCAAAATGAACTTCCATGCTAAAACCATATAATTATCTAATAATCAACATAAGATTTCACGGTCAACTTAAATCATGCAAGATTTCCCGACACTAAATCAGATCAGAAGTGTTCAAACACACTTGAAAACATGAAAAGTGAAGAGAATTTTCAGGTAAAAGTACAGAAACTTCGAGAACCATTATACTTTCAACAGAAAATAAACAAAACAACAAAGAGCAAGTTGATTGAAAAGATGGAAAAACCTGGAGAGTTCTGGTAGCGAACTCGACGCCGATAGTGGATTTAGATTCCAAACAGAACTCGTTTCTGGTGAACCGAGAGAGAATATTCGATTTTCCAACTCCAGAATCGCCAATCAACACGATCTTGAAAAGGTAATCGTACTCGTGATCTACTCTATGCGCCATTTCCCCCTCTCTCTCTCTCACTATGTCTTATCTCTTCTCTCTCAAACCTGCAAGATCCAAAAATCAACGATCAAAAAAAATGAAAAAAAAAAAAACAGAGAGAGAGATCTGGAAGCGACTGGACTTACCCGAAGCGGATAGATCGAGAAGAGAAAATTCTGAAAAAGGAAAATTGATAATTTTGGCGTAATTATACTGAAAAATTCAAAAGAAATAAAATAAAGGAAAGAGGAAAAAAGGAGTTATGAAATGAGAGGAAACGGAAAAAACGATGGCGATTGGAGAGAGGTGGAGAAGGGGACCGAGGGGGGGCTTTTGATTTTGATTTTTGAAACCGACCAGAATAAATATATAGATTTTCCTTTTCTTATTACGGTTTTTGGTTTTTTGGTGGGAGGAGGATTCAAAACGGTGTCGTCAAATGGCATTTTTGTTAAAAGGACAGTTTGGAAAGGTCGAAATAATCAGAGCAGGCAGGCGGGCGATTCGCCAGTGCCAGTGGATGTATGTTACCGTGTCACCCCAACGTCCGATCCCCGCAATTGTTCCTTTTATTTGAGCTTCAATCCGGTGCGGTCAGATCTACTCTCTTTCAACATTTTCTAAATAGCTTTTTATTCTCAATGCCGTTAGATCTAACATAGTCGGTTCCAATATGTTGATCAAATAGTATTTGGTCAACGCTGAAAGATCGGTGCTCTGCATGTCATCATGTCACTTGCATAAATTTTTTATATTTGTTTCATTTCATTCATGGGTTATTTAAATCATGTGATGAATGGCATTAAGATTCTTTTGTCATTTCATTAAAAATTTATAAATTATTTAAAAAATTCAAGTAAAAGTTTTTTATTGTATTTAATTAATATTTTATATTTTAATTTTAAATTAAATAAGTTTTATGACTAACCATTGATTAAGCATTATTAATCAAAATATAATTTATTATTTTTTATGTATGGTACTAATATGACATGTCAACATGTTATATTAAATAGTACTCTAGTATGTTAATGTGTCATGGTGACATGTCCATATGAACTTTTGACCTTCCATGTTATAGTCACGTAAGTATAAAAATAATAAGTGTTATTTTGATTAATAATATTTAATTAATTATTAATTATAAAAACTTATATATTAGTCTAAAATAAAAAATACAAGTGTTTAATTGAATATAATAAAAAATAAAAATGTATTTGATTTTTTAAAAATACTTTAACAACTTTTTAAAGTATTTATAAAAAATTATTATATTAATAACTATTTAATCAATAATCCTAATATTTTTTATTTGATCTTAAAAGCTACTTGTAATCACAATTAATGAAATGATGTTGACACATAAGTATAAAGTTTAAAGAGCTAACTTAATTTTCATTGATGTAAGCATGCATCTATTTGCGTGATAATCCACGAAATTAATACCATAATTAGAAGCTAATAATATTATGCTTCTAGTTTCAAATAACAAGTTAATTTCATCACTCACATATGGGAAGGCCTTTCTTAAAGGCAACTACAATCAGAATAAACTTACATATTAGCTAAAATCTAATATTTCAACATAAACTTTTATTAGTATCTTTTTTTTATTTCAATTTGGAGTTTTATAATGAGAATAACCATTTTTTATTTGATATTCAAATTCAAAATTTAGAGATTGAAAATATTGACTTTTAATTTTCTTATTATTAATTTAAGAAAACCTTTCAAATTTGTATTCTCCCATCACTTAGCTCATCTTTGATAAAATTGACATAATTTGGACCAATATATATTCCAATTTAATATTATTTTTATATAAAAAATGATTTGAGGACATTTTTATATATTTTTAATGAATTTAAGGCAACATAAATCATACCTCAATTTGAACTTACAATTTTGCAATAGATTGACACGTGGCATCAAACTCAATTATTTTTAATGAGTAATTCCAAGAGTGGTTGATGACATATAATTTCAACAATTTTTAATTCAAAAGTATTCAAGACTTATTATAAACTCTAAAAATCTTGAAATATTATAAAATATAATTGGATTTTCAAATAACGTGACATAAAACCTAAATGATTTTATAGAAAATCCAAAATATCAAAATATAACAAAAGCAATTAATTTGCAACTTTGGATCATGGAGATACTACTAATTAATTAAACAAAATAAATATGGAAGTATCATCATTTCATGATAATGATGAATGATGAGCATAGAACACAATAGGCACCACACAAGATGCTAGGGGTGAGCATTGGTCGGTTCGATCGGTTTTCGGTCGGTTTTGACGAAAAATTGATTAAAAATTTTTGGGATATAACCGACCGAACCGTCATAGTATAAAATCGGTTTCGGTCGGTTTTTTTGAATGTCGGTTTCAGTCGGTTTCGGTCGGTTTCGATCGGTTTCTTATGACTGGGAGGGGGGC